GAGAATTAGCGTTGGTGTTTTTCAAAGGCTGTTTTCGCTCTAGCTTTTGTCTGTCTGCCTTTCTGTCTATCTGTCTGTCTGCCCTTCTGTCTATCTGTCTGCCCTGCCGCCTTTCTGTCTATCTATCTATCTATCTGTCTGTCCTGCCTGTCTGTCAATCTGTCTCTATCTCAGTTTATTTGTTTATGTACACGTGGGTTGGAATTTTTTTATCGTATGCATTTTCTTTTTTATTTTCGTTTGTTGAAATAATAATTTGTTCAGTTTTCTTAATTTGTAATTTCCGGGGTTTAAATTTTTCTTTCTTTTTAAGGCTTTTCAATCAAGGGAATGACTTTTATTTTGATTTAACATTTGAGAAATTATTTCCATGATCATTTGCTTTTGTGAGTTTATTAGTAATATCAGTAATAGTGTGTAGATGAAATATCATGATTTTTTAAAATCTAAAGGCAGAAAAAAGTGTGTGTTTTTCACTTTTTCCCTTCCCTCTTCCCTTTTATTGTCGTTTCCCTTTTGCCTCATTTTCCCACCTCTTCCTTCTTACTTTTCTGCTTCGTCATATCTTTATCTTTCATCTCTCTCTTGGCTATATACATCATCACATACATACGTACATCCATACATACACGTGTTTGTTTGTGTGTTGTTATGTCTGTGTCACTCTATCTCTCCTTTTCGCATCGTTTGCAACTGCCGACGAAAAGAAGAGATATTCGCTAAAAAGATAAAGAATTTCCAACCCCGTTTTTAAAACTTGCTTATCAATGTCGTGACCCGTCTTGCTTTCTTCCCTCCCCTGCTTCCTTTTTCCCTGCTTCTTCTTTTTTCTTCTTCCCTTCTTTCTTGATCTCCTCTTTTCTTCTCTTTATCATCCCCCACTCCTTTCCTCTTCTCTCCCTTTTCTCATTTCCCCTTTTCTTCTCGATTCTTCTTCTTCCTCTCCCTTCTCCTTTCTCTCTCTTCTTCTTCTCCCTCTCCCCTCTCCTTCTTCCACTCCTTTCTTCTTCCTACCTCTTATCCATCCTCCTCCTCCTTCTCGTTCCTCTCTCCCTTCTTTTCCTTCCTCCTCTCCCTTCTGCTCCTTCCTCCTCGCCCTTCTTCTCCATCGTCCTCTCCCTTCTCCTTCCTCCTCTCCCTTCTACTCCTTCCTCTCCTTTCTCCTTCCTCTTTGTCCCCTTCATCCCCTCCCTTCTCCTTCTTCCTCTCCCTTCTCCTCCTTCCTCTCCCTTCTCCTCCTTCCTTCCTCTCCCTTCTCCTTTCTCCCCTCCCTTCTCCTTCCTTCCTCCCCCTTCTCCTTCTCCCCTCCCTTCTCCTTCCTTCCTCCCGCTTCTCCTTTCTCCCCTCTCTTCTCCTCTTCCTTCCTCCCCCTTCTCCTTCTCCCCTCCCTTCTCCTCCTCCTCCCCTCCTTTCCCTTCCTTCCTCCTCTCCTTGCTTTTGCCTCCTCTTTCGCCGTACATTAATAGAGTTTCCGTCCACGTTCTTTTCTTTTAAGGGGAAACTCAAATAAATATCATCAAAGGAAAAATTATCGTTCTGTACCTGGCGGCATTCACTCCTTAAATGCCTGAAATAGATAGGGAACTAGTACGAAGCAAAATGCAATTGAGAGATATCCTAAAGAAAAAATAAAATCTCCCTAAATGAGGAAAGAAATTAGAGAAAACCATAAAAGGAAATGATAAGAGTCATTAACGTTGACTTTTCTTTCTTCATGCTAACTTTTTTTCTTCTTCTTCTTTATTTTACTGATAAGGGGAGCGCGAAAATAGTTGAAAAGAAAAATGAGGTAAAAGTCTACTCACGGTCAAATCTCGAAAGACCGTTTTCTGTTGACATTAACTTTCTGAAACATGTAAAGAAAAGAAAATATAGCTTTCTGAATTTCTATTTTCTTTAAAATGGTTTTATTTTGTTTCTTTCTCTCTGCCTTAGGTTATCTTACGTCATGGACTATGTTGTGTTTTATTTCCCTTCGGATTTTCGTCAGTTTTTTCTCTTTTTTCTCTCTCCTCTTCCGACTATTACAACGTCTAATTTCCTCTTCATCTTGATTTTTCCTTCTTTTTCCTCTTCTTTTCTTTTTCTTTCTTTCTCTTTCTTCTTCCTTTTCCTCTTCCTTCTCCTTCTCTTCCTCCTCCTCCTCCTCTTCCTCCTCCTCCTCCTCCTCCTCCTCCTCTTCCTCCTCCTCCTCCTCCTTCTTCTTCTTCTTCCTCTTCCTTTAACTCTTATTCCTCTTCCCTCTCTTCCTCCCCCTCTTCCCCCTGCTTTCTCTCCTTTTCCTCTTCCTCCCCCTCCTCCTCCTCCTCCTCCTCCTCCTTCTTCTTCTTCCTCTTCCTTTAACTCTTATTCCTTTTCCTTCTCTTTCTCCTCCTCTTCCCCCTCCTTTCTCTCCTTTTCCTCTTTCTCCTCCTCCTCCTCCTCCTCTCTCTCTCTCTCTCTCTCTCTGTCTCTCTGTCTCTCTCTCTCTCTCTCTCTCTCTCTCTCTCTCTCTCTCTCTCTCTCTCTCTCTCTCTCTCTCTCTCTCTCTCTCTCTCTCTCTCTCTCTCTCTCCTGTTCACCCCATTTCCTTAATCATCCACGATCGCATAATGAGTAAGTACAACCACTTTCTAATTCCTCCCTTGTAATTACGCAAGACAGAGACCGCAAGATTAAACCCGTTTTCGAATCTTCTTAAATCTCATCATTAACGTTTGTTTGTTTTTATTATTCGATAATCCACGAGAGGCATCATCTAAAATACTTATCCGATACTTAACGCCCATTCACCTCACTTTTTTATTTTTATTTGTATTATTACTTTTTTTATTTTACGAGTTCTCTTGCCCCCGGAAATTTCGATCAAGGAATGGGACTGTATAAACTGCGTAGTCAAGGTGTTTATTATGGCTTTCATTGCACGAAACCCTACGTGTGACCTACAGTTGATTACGTGTAGGTCTGATTGTGCGTTTCCATCACGAATTTCCTTTATTGGACGTTAAGGTAAAATTCTTATTGGACATTAATGGTAAAACTTGTAGGATATCAAGGTAAAACTTATTGGATATCAAGGTAAAATGCTTATTGGATGTCAAGGTAAGACTCGTATTGAACATCAAGGTAAATCTCTTATCTTATTGGACATCAAGGTAAAACTCTTTATGGTCAGGAAGGTAAAACTTTTTATTGGGCATCAAGGTAAATCTATTACCATATTGGAAATCAAAATTAAGCTCTTGTAGGATATCACGGTAAAACTCTTACTGGACAATAAGGTAAAACCCTTATTGGCCAGCAAAGCAAAACTCTTATTGAAAATCAAGGTAAATATGTAAATTTAAGGTGACTGAATCGTAATGGACAAAGACACGCATGCGCAGTTTAGTGGATTTACTCAGTATGTGTGTGTGTTTTTGCGTGTGTTGGCGTATGTGTATGTTTATGTGTGTGTGTGTGTGTGTATGTGTGTGTGTGTGTGTGTGTGTGTGTGTGTGTGTGTGCGTGTGTATGTAAGTTCTGTAATGCAGGTAGCCTAGACACTAGCAACCGTTCTCACTCTGAACATCTCGAAAGTTTCCTCGGAGAGCACTCGAGACAGCATTATCCCTCAGCACCTGTTGATGCCCCCTACCTCCCCCTCCCCCTCCCCTCCCCCTCCCTCCATTTCCCCTACCCCTCTCCTTCCCGTCAACCCTCCCCTTCCCCTCCTCCCTCCCTTCCCCTCCATCTTCCCTTCACCTCCTCTCCTCCCTCCCCGTCAGTACTTAGACCTCTCTCTTCCAAAAAAAAAAGAAGAAAAAAACTTGACTCGACCTTGAAAATGAGAACCCTCTATTTGTTTCCTTAAGTATCATTATTTTATTTCTTGGGAATTGAAAAGTTATAGTGCCTCCCCCTCCCTGTAAGCGCCATTTCACGCGCCTAGATTATTTGCGTTAACTCGAGGTGACTGATACCACTGCGTCGTACTCGCTTCTCAATTTATTTGAATGCGGTCAAACCTGTAATCAATACATAATCAATACAATATCAATCATGCAATAATAATCATAATTGCTGTTACAATTCGACTTAGATTCACTAACAAGATCGTATCAGTAGTTATAATACATGCATACATTTTACTGTTTGCTAAGGATGTCATTATACCCTACTGCTTTAGGTAAGCAACAACATACACTGTCTATACACTATCTATACATGAATGTGTATGATACATACGCATAGCGGGAACAGTCAAGGCCTTTAACAGAAGTCCACAGATCAGTCCTTATGTACGTGTTGTCGAGCCAGTATTCACTCTCAAACTGTTCTATAACCTGTGATGGCCCCCCTTTCGTGAGACGCCCTTCCTTCATTTATACGTCAACATTAGGGACAAGGCCTAATTCAGCACATACAAACACATGGAGGAACACGGCCATGCCATTATCCTTATCGCAACCCATGAAGAAACCGTCAACCAGGTCCTAGAGGGGATGATGTACGCGTGATGCTGAAGCCAGCAGCTACGCCATACCGATGCTGATGGCAGTGGCTACAGATGTTATACACGTGATGCTGATGCCAGCGGGTACGCCATGCCGATTTTGATAACAGCGGCTACACTCCCCCCATTGATTGAGCACGGAGTGTCTCAAACAACACAAAACTCTTGCCCGGCGCTGGGAACGGTATAGTCCAGGTATTGGCATAGACCGCCACCCCCGAGAGGCTCTTCTATATTCCTCATATACATCACTTCCGAAATGAGTTAGAGAATTGTTACAACAGATGCACAGCACAGCTTGAATCCTATATTTTCTCATATCCCTTTGCCTTGTCTTCATGGTTTCTATATCAGTAACAACAGGTGCAAACCTAACATCAGATCTCCCAAAAATTAACGAATCAGTTATAATGATCCTCATCTGTATTGCTGCCGGACAAGGGAAAAAACCCACGCCCCAGTCACAGGGAGAGAATACAACCTCTTGTATACACAAATTGAACACCTCCCAGGACTTTGGGCCGCCGAGATTAAAAAACCTCTCCAGGACTCAGCAATACAATGTGTGTTATGGCGTTGTAGGTTCTACTATATATATACCAGGATCAGAATACAAGCAATCACTCAGGCAAAGACAGCGACTAAAAACATTATGCCTTACACTTGGTAACGATCGTTTCTGTACTGCAAATGTGTATGTGTTTTCGCTGAATAATTATCTGAAGGTTCTCGTCGAAGTTTTCATCTACAGTTTTTTCCAAAGGTTTCACTAGGATGCCGATGCAACATGGCTCCACTCATTAAGCACCCTCACGTATCAGTCATCAAACAAATCACTATGCACCAGAATGTCAACTATTAAGACAGGATCCTTTGCTACCGATGAATGTCAGCCAAGGAGGCAGTGATTTCCAGGCAGTGGCGTAGACATCAGTTATGATGACAAGTCAGGACACATCTTTCCATAACGTCATCCCATCACACAGGGAAGTCATCAGGGAAGTAATCTGGCAGGAACTCTGCATCGCATCATGTTCTCGGGATCTGCAACAGCAAGGATACGGCAGAAAAACGGAACAGAGACTCTATTACGAGCACGGACAGGACATGCATGAACACAGATTTCTCTGGAGTGCTCAAATATTAGCAGAAACTTTGTGATCATTAATTAGACCTATTATTTTCCTCATCACATGAAGACCCGTTATTTTCCCCACCACATGAAGACCTGTTAATTTCCTCATCCCATGAGGACCAGTTATTTTCCTCATCACATGAGGACCCGTTATTCTCCTCACTACCTGAGGACCCGTTATTTTCCTCACTACCTGAGGACCCGTTATTTTCCTCACTACCTGAGGACCCGTTATTTTCCTCATCACATGAGGACCCGTTATTTTCCTCGATGCATGAGGACCCGTTAAACACCGTGCACTTCCGTAGACTTACCGCAGTTCGCTCCTTCTGTCCGTCTCTTTATCGTCACGGCAACGTAACAGCAACGATCTCCCTCTGCGTTTGACTGTAAGCGCCATTTCACACGCTCGGATTATTTGCGTTAACTCGAGGTGACTGATACCACTGCGTCGTACTCGCTTCTCAATTTATTTGAATGCGGTCAAACCTGTAATCAATACATAATCAATACAATATCAATCATGCAATAATAATCATAATTGCTGTTACAATTCGACTTAGATTCACTAACAAGATCGTATCAGTAGTTATAATACATGCATACATTTTACTGTTTGCTAAGGATGTCATTATACCCTACTGCTTTAGGTAAGCAACAACATACACTGTCACTAATGTACTATCTATACATGAATGTGTATGATACATACGCATAGCGGGAACAGTCAAGGCCTTTAACAGAAGTCCACAGATCAGTCCTTATGTACGTGTTGTCGAGCCAGTATTCACTCTCAAACTGTTCTATAACCTGTTATGGCCCCCCTTTCGTGAGACGCCCTTCCTTCATTTATACGTCAACATTAGGGACAAGGCCTAATTCAGCACATACAAACACATGGAGGAACACGGCCATGCCATTATCCTTATCGCAACCCATGAAGAAACCGTCAACCAGGTCCTAGAGGGGATGATGTACGCGTGATGCTGAAGCCAGCAGCTACGCCATACCGATGCTGATGGCAGTGGCTACAGATGTTATACACGTGATGCTGATGCCAGCGGGTACGCCATGCCGATTTTGATAACAGCGGCTACACTCCCCCCATTGATTGAGCACGGAGTGTCTCAAACAACACAAAACTCTTGCCCGGCGCTGGGAACGGTATAGTCCAGGTATTGGCATAGACCGCCACCCCCGAGAGGCTCTTCTATATTCCTCATATACATCACTTCCGAAATGAGTTAGAGAATTGTTACAACAGATGCACAGCACAGCTTGAATCCTATATTTTCTCATATCCCTTTGCCTTGTCTTCATGGTTTCTATATCAGTAACAACAGGTGCAAACCTAACATCAGATCTCCCACGAATTAACAATCAGTTACAATGATCCTCATCTGTATTGTTGCCGGACAAGGGAAAAAACTCCACGTCCCAGTCACAGGGAGAGAATGCAACCTCTTGTATACAAAAATTGAACTCCTCCCAGAACTTTTGGCCGCCGAGATTAAAAAACCTCTCCAGGACTCAACAATACAATGTGTGTTATGGCGTTGTAGGTTCTACTATATATATACCAAGATCAGAATACAAGCAATCACTCAGGCAAAGACAGCGACTAAAAACATTATGCCTTACACTTAGTAACGATCGTTTCTGTACTGCAAATGTGTATGTGTTTTCGCTGAATAATTATCTGAAGGTTCTCGTCGAAGTTTTCATCTACATTTTTTTCCAAAGGTTTCACTAGGATGCCGATGCAACATGGCTCCACTCATTAAGCACCCTCACGTATCAGTCATCAAACAAATCACTATGCACCAGAATGTCAACTATTAAGACAGGATCCTTTGCTACCGATGAATGTCAGCCAAGGAGGCAGTGATTT